AGATAGCTGGAATGGAGGGGCCTCTCGATTGGAGAGTTACTGGTCAAATATTTACTTTTGTTCATCACTGGAAACGCTACCTACCACGCATTGACTAGAACCACAGTGAGGAGGGAACGTTTTAGATGATAGAGTTTTGTTTGGGGGCTTGTTCTGTTTTGTTTTATTCCAGGAATTCAGGAAATTGCCTCAGAAGTCCGATTTCTGATGTGTAAAACCTTTTTTTACAGAAAACCACGACTTCCTGGAAAAGTCTTCCCCGTAAATATTAATCTCTTTGGCATAAAGAGGAAAACACTACAGCTATTTTTTCATGGGATAACATAAAAATATAGGTTCCAATTTATTTTATCTTTTCCCTTTTGATGCTCTTTTTAAACGAGGAGTAAAGATTTCAACTCCAGGTCCAGTTTCCAAATTTTGTACCAGAACCTTGCGGATGCTTGTCTCTCGCGCCCTTCTCCGCAGATCCAACCCTCTCCGGAACTCAGAGCTGTTCACCCAAGTCAGCGGCGGAGGCCTCCTGGGACTTGAGCCTGAGAGTGGCAAAGAACCCTAGACAGAGATCAGCTTGGTACCGATGAGTGACGCGGAGCTTGAACATTCCAGCGACTTGCTCCAGAGCCACTCCCAGTTAAGAGGCTGAGTGTTATCTACACCGTAGGCTCCACGAACCGAACCGGGTTTGGATACAGACACAGTCACATCATCCATGAAAAGCTGTTTCTATAATATGGAAAACTGTTAAATGACGCTTTAGTAAAAGCCATTTAAAGATCTTTCTAATAAATTTTTCATCTTTCCAAACAATGCCGCTAATTACCTTCTGATAAAATGCTTTTCCAAAATGTTTATGAACTGAAAACAAAAATAAAAAACTACATTTTCATGTTGTAAAGAGAGTGGGGGGGACTTTCTAAAATATGTCATAGCATTTCTCATGACACCTTGACCCTTTAAGGCATAATTTTTGACAAAATCTCTTGTTCTTTTTCTTTTTACAGCTGAACGTCTTAAATTCAAGGAGTAAACACATATAATGAGATGAAAGTTTATCACTGTTAGCACAACCAATAATTTGCATCGTAGTCTCAATTTCCTCGAATCTTTAATAAAAGCAAAGTGGGCAAGTGTTTAAATGATTATGCAGATTGAGTACCCCTTAACCAAAATGCTTGGGACCAGAAATATTTTGGATTCTGGATTTTCTTGGATTTTTGATATATTTGCATAGACGTAATGAAAGATCTTTGGGGATGGAACTCAAGCCTAAAAAGGAAAGTTATTAATGTTTTCTATATACCTTATACACATAGCCTGAAGGGAATTTTATACAATATTTTAGATCATTTTGTGCATGAAACAAAGTTTTGTCTGCATTTTGACTACAAGGCATCACATGAGGTCAGGTGTGGAATTCACCACTTGTGGTCATCATGTCAGTGCTCAGAAAGTTTGGATTTGGGAGCATTTTGGATTTCAGATTTTCAGATTAGGGATGCTCAACCTGTACAAACACTGATGTATAGACAAGACAGTGGTTTTTCTCAAACAGAAGCAATGGCCGGAAGTCAGCCTCTGCACAAGCAGCCCATGATATCCATTGGTGGAGGAGAGAAGTACATGCACGGAGGGAAGTGCATAAGGTACAAAATTTCATTTAGGATGCTTTCCCTCTGTGCATCTCATTTGTTCAGCAAATAATTATAACCTAGGATATGGAAATACTCTACAACATACAAAGATAAATAGGGTCCAGTCACTGCCCTTAAACATGTTATAGTAAAACTTTGATTTAAGAAATTCAGGGGCCCGTGCGGTGGCTCACACCTGTAATCCCAGCACTTTGGGAGGCCAAGGCGGGCAGATCACCTGAGGTCAGGAGTTCGAGACCAGCCTGGCCAACATGATGAAACCCCATCTCTACTAAAAATACAAAAATTAGCTGGATGTGGCGGCAGGCGCCTGTAATCCTAGCTATTTGGGAGGCTGAGACACGAGTATCGCTTGAATCCGGGAGGTGGAGATTGTATTGAGCAGAGATCTTGTCATTGTACTCCAGCCTGGGTGACAGATCAAGACTCCATCTCAAAAAAAAAAAAAAAAAAAAGTAGTTTAATATGTCATAAAGTATCAATTACCTACTCAAGGCAAAAAATAATAAAAAAGGAAGGATAATTTCATGATAACTTCTACACTTTGTAAAATTATTTTATTTGTTTCATGACTGCTTGAAAATCTGAAAATTTAATACTTGTTTTTGTTTCTTCCAACAAAAATACGTTTGCTTTATTCAATGTGTACACTTTTTTTTGGCACTACTTGGGTACAGATCTTGATTATTAATGCCATACAACTTTATATCATTTGTTTATGGGAGACAAGCAATATGCATAGTTTTGCTAAAAGTGTAAATTATCTTTGAAACAATAAAATATATGTAAGTTAAAAAAAAAAATCCGGGATTATTCTTCTCTAATGTGTAATAAAAAGGCCACACAATTGCACGGTAGAATTATCCTTTAAAAAAAAATCTATAAACCACCCCCCAGTGGTAACAAAAGCTCTTCTTAGCCAAGGGGCCCCTTTGGGTCATAGGAACCAGGATCCACACAGACCCAAACACCACCCAGACTCATAAAACTGTTCAATTTGCAGGCAAAACAGAGGAGGAGGTGAAGAGCCCACATCACCAATCACACCTCTGGCTGCGTTGCCTCCTCGCCCATCTTGCTTCCTGGGCTTCTCCAGGCATCCCGAAGAACACGAATGGCTTCCAGTTACCAAACTTGCCTGCTCTCATTTATCTTTCTCTAAGGGTGATAAAGAAAGATAAGAGGATAAAATAAATAGATTGACATGCCCGATAGATGGAAACCCCCCACCTCAACACACACACATGCACATGCACGCACACACATCAGTTATATAGGCTGGCTCATCACACAATGAAGAGCTAGGGTAACTTGCCCATAGTTATCATCTTAGTGCTACAATTTACTTGGACAAGAGCTCAATTTCTTCATGCGTTATAATGGAAATAACACTTGTTCTGCCAACCTTCCAAATCCACAGTGAGGTCAAATGAGATAAAATACTTGCACATTCTTGAACACTGTGAAACATACAAAGCTCCATAAGGTACTACCTGTTAAGCCAAAAGTTCTTTGCTGGATGTGAAATTTTAACTGCTAATGTACCTGTCTTTATCCCATGTGTAAATCAGTAAACCTCCCTCTTGGAGACATTTGGCATGCATTCATTGAAAAAGCAGCTATTGAACATCTACGACGTTACACAGCAGATTCAATGCTAGACGCGTGAAGATGAATAAGGCGTGACTCTTTTTCTGCAGGATATCAAAGTCTGCGGTAGTAGAACAAATAACTACAACACGACAGTAAGTATGCTGTAATGAAGGTACATTTATAGACTCTTGGAAGCACAGCAAAGAGGTTTAAAAGTAGCTTGTTTTCCTACAACTTGTTTAAAAAATCGGAATTCAAAGTCTGGCAGAGTCTTCGCTGGCTGACCTAAGGTCAGCTATTTTTTGCCTGCCACTCATAGATAGCTCCCCTTGTGCTGATAGAAACAGACCACTGACAGGCAACTTTCTCTCCGGCTGACCTTAGAAATGACCTTGCAGTTAGGAAAGAGGAATCAGTCATATTCAGAGCAGATTTTTAAAAGAAAACAGACACTTTGATTTCAGTGAGATTAAGAAGAATCGTTTACTTGCTCAAAATCCCATGGGAACTCTCTATACCTTTGTGTTAGTAAATGATATCTCTTTGTCACAAGAAGATTTATAGCCCATGAGTTAAAATAACTGTTCTGCCTTACCGAGGAGTAGTTTTGGGGTTTTTATTTTGTTTGGTTTTGTTTGAGACAGTCTCACTCTGTCACCCAGGCTGGAGTGCAGTGACATGATCTTGGCTCGCTACAACCTCTGCCTTCTGAGCTCAAGTGATCCTCCTGCCTCAGCCTCCCCAGTAGCTGAGACTATAGGTGCACACCACCACACTGGACTAATTTTTGTATTTTTTGTAGATACAGGGTTTCACCATGTTGCCCAAGCTGGTCTGTAACTCCTGGGCCGAGCAATCCACCAACCTTGGCCTCCCAAAGTGCTGGGATTACAGGCATGAGCCACAGTGTCCAGCCAAGGAGTAGTATTTTAATAAAAACTAGATAATTAATAAATCAAAATTACAGGTAGAAGCTAGGATTGGAACCATAATGTGAAGGAAAAGAAAATGTCTATTAAAATGGCAGACAAAATCTTAATAATAAAATGTGTATGTATATTTTACTCCTTCTTTTCTCTTCCATTTGTCTGGATAAATTAGAATCCTCCAGAAATAATGAATCTAGGATCTGAATTATCACAAAAATAAGATTGATCTCTCCTAATTAAAATTGTTGAAATGATTTAAAGCTGTCATTGAAGAAAGCTGTTTGACAAAGCCCATTTCAAAAATAGGAAAATGTTTGTAAAATATGTACACCAACCCCAAACTATCTTTGGTTTACTTGGTTTAAGTGTCCTTCAGGAACGGGGGAGTTTCTCTGTTTGCAGTGATTTTTTGTTTTTGCTGGGGGAAGGTACTTAACTTTGTGGAAATTTAAATACAGCAGGAGCTGAGGGAAATCATCTTTAGTTTCAACTGACTCTTATCTAGGGTCCAAAAAAGTTTGGGGATTTTTTGGTTTGTTTTGTTTTTGTTAGTTTTGTTTGGTTTGGTTTTGTTTTGTTTTTTGTCAGAAGCTTGGTAAGATCACAGATCACAGGGAAGAAACCCTATTCAAACTCCTCATCTTATCCTACACCGGCCAAGAAAAGTCAGGCCATGAGAAAGAACCTGCATTACTTGCCAAGGCCCAAGTCTGTAAAGGGAAATCCCAGACTGGAGCTGAGAGCTCACTCAGCAAATCAATTAACAGGCTTGTTAAGAAGGATGTACCCAGAGTTAGGATTTTTTTTTCCTCCTGCTTATAAAAGTGTATGTATTTGCTGTAAAATACTCAGAAAAGGCAGAAGGGAATG